TATATATATATATATATATATATATATAGATCTATGTCTATTAAGAATTTCTTTTTACTTCCCATTAAATTAATTAGTTTAAGCCGCAATTAAGGTAAAGAAGAAATCTTTTTTTCGAAGAATTTTTCTATGTATATATTTCTCGCTTGGACTTTCCTCTCTTAAATTTAACGACTCAAGAAATGGGTATTGCTACAACTTGTAATCCAATACTTATCTATAACTATGCACTGTTACAAATATTATGGTTATCTTCGTGAATATCGAGCAATCATCCGATATCTAATTTATTCGAAGGAGAAGCTGCTTTTCTTATCAACATTATCAACATAATTCCCTAAAAATTAAGCCGGAAAGATTTATAATCAAACACCCCTTTAACTTCCAAACCCGAATATAATAAAGGAAAGTTTCATGCGATAAGTTCCGAGCAATGTGGCTACGCACAGCAATAATAGTAATAACTTGTGTCTGCGTCATTATCCGATAATGAACGATCGTCGTTTATCTTTTGTAAATTAAAACTGTGAATACCTCGCCTTCGACGGAATAAAAACAGTGGGATTAATATAATATACAGTTCGAATAAAATATATATATCGCGCGCGACTGCCCATAGAACGAATTGCGATAGGGAATGAGCATGATGTACGATAATATTAACTTCAGACAATAAAATGTTATTATCGATGTTACCCTATATGGATTTGCCATGTTTCCGCACCCACTGTCAGATGACTGTCAATCTCTTTGGTCTGATCTCTTTGAGAGGAAGAGGTAATTAATGATTCAACATATATATTGTGCAAATGCATGATTATATACACTATTGCTATCTTTACTCATCAAATGTCATTCTTTATTTTCATTTTGTCTGTTTACCACACGTTTTCGCTTAATGGCTTTCGTCCGTTCCAAGTTCTCATTTCGCTCTTTTTCAAGAATCTCCTTCAATTTCTCAACGTGACTCTGATAGTTCATCGTATCCGCCGTATCATTCAGCTCTATTCGCTCAATGTTTGGCACAACTTTGTGCGCGCCAGTTAACATTTGCTTAAATATCCCGACTTGATTCGCTGTAAGCACAGATACTGCGGTGCCCGGCTTTCCTGCCCGTCCAGTTCTGCCAGCTCTATGTATATATCCTTTGATGTGTTTTGGGACGTCATAAGATACAACTAATTGTACATCCGGAATATCCAGACCTCTAGCCAACGCGTCCGAACTTATCAATCTGAAAAGAATAACGAGAACTTCAAATGAGCTATCATTATAGAAACTAAAATATATCATATTCTATTAAAGATTTTTATAGCCTTGTAGCACATCGGTAGCAAATTTTTTATAAATTTTGTGAATGCATAAAAATATCAACTTTTAAGTTTAAAATGCATTTCATTTTGGTATAATTTTTCGCCTTCGAAATACAGCTAAAATTATAAACACTCGCATACGCTCGGTATTAAACCGTTATCGGTATAGTGAAATTTGACGTTTTTTCTGTAGTTTTATTTACTGACGATTAGTAAAGTAAAAATCAGTTTTACCAACACTTGGCGAAGTAGAAATCTGTTTTACTGACTAGTAAATAAAAATTCGACAATTCCGTAAAATTATATAGCATGAAACGTGCATTAATGTTTGTACTTTAACTCTGTAAAACCGCGTTCACATCGATCAGCAGACTTAAAAAACTCCACTTACATTTCGCTTCAATGATAAAACCACTTATAGGAGCTTTAATTAGTATTAATAAAAATAAGTAAAAAATATTAACTTAATACTATTATAAATAGATTCGTCTCAAGTAAGAATGCAGAACTTACACGTGTATTTCTCCGCTTGCGAATTTACCGAGGACACTTTCGCGTTGTCTAGGCATGAGCTGAGCAGATAATTCGCCGACTGTGACATTCCGTTCCGACAGAAGTGATTGAATCAGGAGAGCCAGTCTATGCGCGGTATCTCCGGAATTCGTGAAAACTAGAGTCTTAGAGATCGTGTCGTGCCTCGTCAATAGATAATACAAGGCAACTGGCTTATACTCAGCGGCACATTCCACCGCGAGTTCCGTCAATTCTCCCGGACTCGTGTAACGTCCAATGAAATTGCCCGCGATCTTATCCAAATTCACATCGGTGTCCTTATCTGTCACTACAACCGTAGTGAACAATATAGGTTGGAAAAGGCTCAATCGACTTAGCTTCTCGGGATCTTGAGACAGAGTAGCGCTGAATAACAGCTTTTGAGCCGGTGCGATTTCACTGTTTAAAAATTAATGAATCAATATGTACATTTGTATATGTTACTCGCCTAAAAGAAAACAAAAAATTCTCGTGTCTTCTTTCCATGCAATACACAATGTAATAATATAATTTTTTTGTTAACAAATTAATATTAGGTTGGTGCAAAAAATTTGTCGTGTTTATCGAATAGCACAGAAAACAAAATTATTTAATTTCGAAGGATTAATAATTCTTAGAAATTAAACAAGTCGGTATTTTTTAGACATCTAACAAGAACTTCCTATTTTTCTTTTAATCCCTAAATTCCCAATGAGAATTTAATAGAAAAACAACAAATCCTTTATCCTCCCAACTTAATATAGTGAGTAGAACCTTGAATGTATGTTTCCAATCGTTAATCTGTGAGTCCGAGAATGAAACTCCGGTAGATACTGCAGCCATTCTGTCGCACGGTCAGCCTCGTCGATAACAAGAAATCTTAGAAAATCCAAACAGAATCCAGGTGTCTTTAATATGTGATCAATTAAACGTCCAGGCGTCGCGATCACAATATCTACTGTAGATAGATAGTTTCCCCTTTCAGCTTGAAAAATAAATTTACATGTGGATGTTAAAAATAGGTTATTTTACCAGGAGTCTGAACCGAAATATTTGGCTGAAGTGTTTATAAATGAAATATCCTCTACAGAGAATTTGAAATTATTCCCTTTATAGTACTAAAACATATTTGGCTCTTATTGATTCTTTAAGTAATTTACTTTGATCGACAGATTAATTGATCAACCACTGAAGGTAAATACATACTTTTCTTAATTATACTGCTTTGCTCCTGTTCGAACGAAGAAGTACCCGAGAGTAGGCCGACTTTCAAACTTGTGTGAGATGTGTAGGTGACCATCACTTTGTAAACCTGCGCGGCAAGTTCTCGTACCGGCAAAACAACCAGACAGCGGATTTTCGGTACCAGTCGTGTCTGCAATTGCTGGACAATTGGTAATACATAAGCCAAAGTCTTGCCTTTAAAAGGAAAGTTGTTTAGTAAGAAATAATAATAAAAAATTCACTATCATACATTATTCATCAATTATTATCTGTTGCAAGTATCTCATTGCTTACCACTGCCTGTAGGAGCAGATACACAAGTGTCTCTCAACCACCAACCTATTCTTCTATCTTTATTGCATGTATGCAACCATTTTATCACATTAGATTGAACTGGGAACAATTTAACAATGCCATTGGCTTTTAAGATTTCTATCAGTTTATAATCTAAGATAGAATGTAAGTCCTCTATATTAGGTCCACTGTTTAAGTCAGCAGATATAACTTCAGGATGTGCCAACCAATCTGGTAATACTCGCTTAATAGCGTGTTGTTTCTTCTGAGGTTTCGCCCCTAATATCATAAAATTGCTTTGTGAAGATATTTCATTCTTTTTAATATTTCTATCGTCACTATTTTCTTCTTCATTCTCTAAATTTTCATTTCTTCTTTCCAATTGCTGATCCTGTGTTACTAAATGTTCAACTGGAGAATAATCTTCATTCTCAATATGTGTCTTCTTTCTCTTTTTACTTTTTATTTGTGCTTCTACTATTTCTGAAGATTGTTCATTGATTTCCTCATTGTACTTGCTTTTGTCTTTAATATGTAGATTATTAATTCCCTTTCCTTCAGACAGACTCTTATCCTTCTTTTTCTTAGATTTTTCTAAATTACTTTTATCTACATCTTCTGATATGAATTCATTGTTTTTTGCAGACCTTTGTCTTTTACGCTCAGCTATCCTTTTCAGCAAAATGGAAAGATGATCAGTATCATTTGTAATTTCCTCTTTGCTTTCTCCTTCATATCTTCAGAAACATATTTTATATATTATAAAATGATTAATGGTAGATGTAGCTAATCATAGCATATATTATTGTTTAAAAAAATATTACACTACTATCATAACTTACCTATTTATAACAAACAAATTCATATTTTCTTTAATGCTTTTCCTCTGAGTATAGTTATTAACATATTACATCAAAGTAATACAACATAACAAATGATATAAAACTACACGTGAAAAATATTAGGTTAAGGATCTGCAAGTAAATCCTAAAGCCCATTCTACAATTGCGTAAGCGTAGTCGTGAACGTAAGAGTCAACCAATCCGAATGTTTTATTCACTGATTGCTTTACTCTGATTGGTTGTCGTAATCACTTACAACCACTTACTCCACGTTCACGCAATTGTAGAATGAGCTTAAGGGCAGTGGCACATAGAAAAACTTAAGCAGTAAGACGTAAGCAGGAAGCAAATTGACCAATCACAGTCGTTAATTCTTACGTCCAACAATCAACGACTGTGATTGGCTAATTCGCTTACTGCTTACGTCTTACTGCTTAAGTTTTTCTACGTGCTACCAGCTTAAAGGGACGTCTACATTGGAAGTAAATAGCAAGAAGTAGTAAGAGTAAGAAATTGACCAATCACAGTCGAATGTGAGAAGAATAATCAACTATGATTGGTCAATTTCTTATTCTTACTTCCTACTTCTTACTACTTACTTCCAATGTAGACGTCCCTTTAAGGGAGCACAGCTATCTAATATCTTTATAATACATAGCAACTCAATGCTGTCTTGTATCCTCATGAGTTGAATTGAGTTTCTGAAGATAGATGAAAGTGCACCAATCAAAACAGAATATTTCCATCCAGCAAGCAATCCAGTACGAAAATAAGCACCGTGTGTCACTGGTTTTAGTAATAGATGTAAAAAGCGTAACCAACGTCTAATATCTAATGGAGGATTCACATTGCGTCCTACTTTCGACATATGACATCCAATAGTAAAGTTTCTCTGCTAGATTTCTACCTAGTGACATTTTTATCTCCAGAACCAATTCTATCGGATAAGGCTGCGTTCCTTTTGGGTGCTCACGCGCTGTAAGCGTCATTCTATCTTTATCACTCATTAGATGCGGAAGAAAGAGAGTTATGACTCCTGCACACAGAACGTGGTAATGCTTGTCGCGCCGCGGAAGTTCGCACGACAGCCAATCAATATGCTGCTTTCCGTAATAACCTTCTAGCTCTTACGGAAAAACAACATATTGATTGGCTGTCGCGCGGACTTCCGCCGCGCGGCAAGCATTACTGCGTCCTGTGTGCAGGAGTCATGACGCTTATAAGTGCTTAAAGCGCCCAAAAGGAACGCAGCCCAAGGGTCGATTATGTATTTAGGTTGTTTGCATCACATGCCCCAACGTGCTCCTACTCGCTTCAACGCACTCTGATTGGCTGCGTGATGACGTGAACCAATCAGAGTGCGTTAGAGCAAGTAGGAGCACGTTGAGGCATGCAACGTGAACAAACCTTCTGAAAACGGAATGAAAATAACAAAGTAAGCAAATTTACTAGAATATTTGTAACTTCATTGGCTAACGTCTAGTGAATTTGCTCACTTTTGTAATTTTCACTCCGTTTCGAGATACACAATCGACCACCAGATGCAATGTAAATCCTCCATAAGCAATTCGAGGGATTAGTTCATGGTGTATCGCCAACAGATTGCGCCTCGAATGATTCTAATTGCACGGCAACTCACGGCGCTCCTGCGGGTCCAATGCGAAAATAAAAGCCCGGAGGCCGAGTGGAAACTCCAAAATGGCGCGACTGCGAAGTGTAAACACCCAGTTTTGATGTCGATGCGGAGTGTGGAAGCCGTCGTACGTTCGCGTCAATACTCATCCGCGCCCAGCGCACCCCGTTTGTTTTCCATCGCAACGAGTGGCAAGAAGATACCCCGGCTGAATGTTCACCGTATCCACGATCGCCCATTCGATTCCAGGTAAATCCGCGGCGAGTTTGTTGCCGTGATACGTTTTGATATCTACTCGTATTTTTCGGCTGCGCGACCGCATCCTCCCGCGAATCGGCATTTTCAGCGGGCATATCTTGTCGAGGAAACACGTCGATACGTTTGCTCAAATTTTTTCGTAAGGTCTTTCCATGCATGTGTACAAGTAACCCACACTAGACTACTAGTGGCCCGAATAAATTGCTCTAGTTTATCATGTAAGATGCAAGAATGAGAAAGAGGAAAAAGAATAGCTGTGGCCCACATTTTATGTGATCAATTTGTAATAATAATTATTTAGTGATAGTTAGATCGTGATTACAATAGATTGAGTGAGAATTTAGTTACTATGATTAGCTAAGTACCGATTTGAGTTAGCGGTAAGTATTTTTAGTAACAGTAACCAGTAGATTGTTGTGAGTGAAAAGAGATTATTTTTCATTAACTGATAACTGAGACTTTAATATAGATTAAAAGAGGAAGCAAGATATATTATAATTAGTACATTATTCAATGTTGGTATAATCAATTATTAAGTTCAGTTATATTTGTATCTTAATTATTAGTATATATTTGTTAATATAGTAGAATATATTAGTACCTATTAATATATTAGAAGTATATATAAACTATAGTTGATGCATTTGATACAATAATTGGTTCTTGGAAAACACGAGAAGTTATTAATAATACAATAGATATAAAGAATGACTGATTTGATCTATAAACATCCAAATGTTTTATATAAAGTACTAATAATGTTATACAGTTAACATGGTTTGAAATGTTTATGAAACCTATCTATAATCCAATTATTATAATTATAAATGAAGTATCTAAAAAAATATGTTTTATACAAAAAAATATATTGTAATATTTAATATTTTTTAGGGAGCGACCCAAGCAAAATGGCACAGAAGCGTAGTGCTGTCCACATAGGGTGAGTTATAAAAGTCTGTCTTAAAATTTAAATTTGCATAGAACAATTTTACTCAAGATACTTTTTGCAAATATTTAATTTACTGAAATATTAAATCACATAAAATAAATACTTTTATATATAGAATAACACATTTTATATATAGAATAACACAAGTAGGATAAGTTGATAGAAAGAATCTGTTGCATTTTATAGAGGCATCAATACACTTCTATACAAAAATTAGTATAATTCTATGTATAAAAATACAAATATAAAAGATGTATGAAAGATTCTATGTATAAAAGATAAGACCGTCGCAAAAAGTGAAAACGAGTTATTTCATATGCCATGCTGAAAAATATCAAGGTAAAATATGAAATATCTCTAGAAGTATTCATGCAGTACTATATCTATCTATCTCAAGATATACCAAAAGGCGGAAAGCCGGACGTCCCGAGAGAGTTACTAAGTATTTAGTGACGAAAATAGCCGCTTTGTCGTTCACGTTCGAGAATTTCGTCGCGCAATTATACGCAGCTAACTCGGTGTCGCGCTTGATTGACGCGATTCTAAGAAATGATGCAGTGGGATCAGTTACGGCGTTTGCCACACATAATACGGTAGGCATTTCTCCGCCACCCCAACAATACCCCCTGCTGCACGGCTAAATACTTCTTCACGTCGCGCCGCGGCGAGAAAGGTCTGTTGCGACACCGCTCAAGAAACATTTCGTTATCGTAAGCGCCGCGTACTTTTACCGGCACGAGCCTTTCTCGAAAACACTTTTCTGCCGTCTCACGCGGAGCTTCGGCACGCAAGGCGGCCACTAATGTCGACCGTGTCGTTAGCATATTCACGTTTCCCCTCCACTGCGCGAATTTCCGAACTTCCGGGCTTTAATTAAGGTTCATCAAGCGAGCAGGACAAAAACAAGTTTCATTCATACCTCAACGCTCAAGTAACATCAACGCTATCATGATGGTCACCTGCAACTGACGCATAATAAATCTAAACTGGTTCCAGCCAAAATTCTCAGCTTTTCAAAATATTTTTATTTTATAATCAAATGTAACAAAATATCCTAAATATATTTTCGGATCTGTTAGATTTCACTTTTGATTATTTAATATTTTTATAATAAAATATCTAAAACATATGAATCAAATATAACATTATTTACAATAATTTTTCTTCCTATTACTCAGAATTAACAAGGACATTAAAAGAAATGTAGCCGTATTTTTGTTTTTTTGTTGGTTCTATTGTTTCATCTCGTTTTTTTTTTTTTGGTTTTGTTGTTTTCTTACTTTTTGTATTTTTTAATTTCTTATTAGGTTGTTTGTTATATTCTGTTTTTTTATTTTCATTATAAATCTTCTTACAATTTTGTTCCATTCAAGTTAATTTAATTTTTATCTTCGTCATTAGACTCATCTTCCTGATTAACAATATCAAGTTGCTTAAATAAGTTGAAAGCATCTGCAGAAATAATGTCATTTTTTTTAGGAGGGATTAGTCTGAAAGGTGTAATGTAAGAATCAAACAAAATAAGCAATCTCTGAAATCCTCATTCGTTATTACTCGCGAATATTTTTTTGTGTAATGCTTGTGTCATAGCAAGCGTCTGGTATCATTTCCCATAAGGCGCCAGGCATAGGAACACAACATTTGTTGCATATTAAAATTGTTGTGTATTATGTTCTCGTTTTATATGTCAGTTCTTATGGGTATACATTCTATGTAGGAGAAGTCCCACTGTGGAATGGAAGTTTTTTCTTCACAACAACATGATATATTACCTGTTTTAAATTTTATAAATTGGTTGCAGAATCTCAAAAAATTAAATATTTTAGATTGATTTAATAATGATATAGGCCTTTTTTCAAAGGTTCATTAGTTATAAGATTATAAGAAAAAATGTTTCATATTAATCACTTCAACATATTTATTCGTATATTTGAATTACTTGTTTTAGTTGTTTAAGCAAACTACACAATAAACTGAGTTTGATCGTGAAGATTCTTCTCAAACAATAGCATATTTTATTAAAACTTTTATTTTCGCATGCATTTAAAGTTAAACCTATTGTTGGCGCTATAAGACATCGCTGCGTTTCATTAATTTATGGATAAAACATAACTGCGTATAACAAATTAAATATATAGCCGATAGCGAGCTGATAAAAACAAGAGGGAGAGAGAGAGAGAGAGAGAGAGAGAGAGAGAGAAAGCTAACGAATATATGCGTCGAACATTACTTTTATTTATCACATATTTGATGATTTAAACACGCAGAGAATTTTTCTCGAAAATACTCTCTAAATTTCTTAGAATATAATTTTCACTCGAAAGGTAGATTGCCCATCAAGTCACTCAAGTAATTTTTCATTCATATAAAGTAAATACTCTGAATACGATCTTATATATATTCTTTATCTTTATATTATCTGTTAATTTACTTTAATTTTTGCCTATGTTAATCTAAAATATTAGCGACCTTCTCGTTGATAAAGTATGTTTACATTCATATTTTCTGCGTGGACTTGAATTTGGCATTGAAATAATCAATGGAAATCAGCGCAACAGGCAACATGTTAACGGGTCAATAGACGATCCGAGGAATTCCCTAAAAGCGACAATAGAAAAACAAAGCCTACCCCGAGGGATTTCCTTCGTTCCCGGTCTTGTCCCCCGTCGCGAATGAACGGCGCGATGCATCCCGGTTAAAAGTCGTGCTTCGCAACGGTGGCTGTCCCGGGCTCTCTGGTGGGAGAAGTGATAGTCCTCACCGGGGTATACCGCAGCAGCACATTATGCGGCTATGGTGGAATCAGTCACTGGCGAGTTGTGGGTGGTGGCTAGTCGGCGACCCATCCGTCCCGTCCGTCCGTCCGTCCGTCCATCCGTCCGTCCGTCCGTCTATCCATCCGTACGTACAAACATACGTACGTTCGAGGAACGTGCTTCCGCGTCGGCCCGCGTTGCTTCGTCAGCGTCGACGATCACCATCGATCGTGATCGAGACCGCATCGCGACGATCGTCATCAGCGCATCATTATCCCGTGGCACTGCGACGAGAACTCCGGCGCCAAAGATTGGATGTCTCGGTCGCGAACGTCACGAACGCGTGCGTCATCGCGATCATTCCTGGGACCTTGATGAAATCAGACGTCGATGACGCTTGAGAGACAGAAACCGATCTGCCGTCGCGATCGTGGGACTCTGATGGACTAGACGATCAGGTCGGTCTCCCCCAGAAGAGGAGATCAAAATGCAGCCGAGCATTTCGGGAATCAAGCATGTGGAGCACGTCGCGATAAATGCAAAGGATTCACGTGTTACCGAGTGATCCGATTTTCCAGAGGAAGAGAGTCCAGTTGTCATCGAGTCGTGGACAGTGAGAACTTGTCGATTGTTCGACAGGAAGTCCGAATTGTGGGAGAGTAGTGGAACACCGTACATCACGTTGCGATTTCATTGTAACCTGATGACCCCAGCGTCTCCAGGATCCACGAGGAAAAACTCATCCTGCGCGGCTAACCACCACCACCACTGCTGTCGGCGGCAAAGTTCGCGGTGTGGTTTCGCGCGGGAACTCGACACACCCGCGATTTGCGTGCGCGCTTCACGTTGCGCGAGCTCAGCCGGACTGATTTAGACCGCGTTCGTTTTACTACGCGGAGGCAGGCGTCACGCGAGATCCGAATTTTCCACATTCGCATCCCGAAGACCAGCAGCCGCCGTCCTCCGACGTGATTTCCGACGTAAGCAAAATTTAGGCCAAGTTCTCCGCTATTACTCGGGGAACTACATTTCAGCGGGGAGCGATTTTCTTGGGGGAAATCAAGAAAGTGGAGGAGACATCACCATCCGCGCGATTGCTACGAAGTAACAAGAGAGAACTCCAGGACTTGGTCTGCGAGAAACTCAATTCTGCTTCAATTGCGTGAGAAATTCCCCTACGATCGAAGGCAATTCACGTCATTGAACTGCGATCGACCGGATGAGCCCCGAGTTCCTCGGATCAAGTGATCGCGTAGCGTAGGAAGCGCTTCTTCAGCTATGGCCGTTGCTCCTGAGAGAGCGCCGGGTGCAGGCAGGATCGGCGCGATTTCCCCGCTGACTGTGCGTGACAGCGCGACGAAGGGAGCGTGCAGGATTCGGCGCAACGACGGGCCGACGAGGTCACGGATCTCATGACGGTCCAAAGAGCCGACGGTTCAAAGAGGGCAACGAGGGCAGGCCACCACGGTCCATCGGACAAGACAATACTTGTTGGCAGAGAACGCGGGCATGGATCGGACGCTCCGGCTGGAGAGCGAATAGAACGTCGCGAGAAAGTGGTCGCGCTTTCCAAAATCGAAATCGCTCGCACCGTGGCCGGCGTTTTGCCTCTCCGTGCTTTCTTTCTTGGTCGATTAATCGAACCATCGCGCGCTGACTACCGGCACCACGAGCAAGCCGCTATTAGAGAAAAGCGGATTTTACTCGAAATCCGGGACTCGGGAGAGATAGACAGAGAAAAAGAGGAGTCGCAACGTTAAAATCGCTAATTTTCCATCCGCGAGGACACACTCCAATACGAATTTCCCGCGGTGCGAGCGAAGCAGATAAAAGTAACAGAGGTTGAAATTGGACTTTGCGCGTATATCAAGAAGAGGATCGTATCGGGAAGTGTAGGAATCAGCCGGCCGCAGATAAAGATTCCGGGAAATATGTATAAGGCAGATAAAGCGCTTGTTTTCGTTTATTCGCGCACCACTTTTCGTTGGCAAATATAGTTCTTCCGTCGAATTTTCGGGCTCAAGTGATCGAGCGCGACGCACGGCTAAACGGATCCCTTCGATTCGACGATCATCGAATTCGCATCGCACCGAAGGATACATAAGTAAATAAACGTTGACGGGATAAGTCGCCAAAGAGTGTACACCAGCGCTCTCCTAAGATGAATCCCCACGGTGAAGTACACGAACGAACGTAAGCGGAATTCAGAGAACGCGCAAAGACCTTCGAAGCGCTCAAGTATCTTCGAACAACATCTCCCCCCGAGGGGCAGGAGGGGTGAGGGGCGCGAAGTACAAAACCGCCTCGTAGATCGATGGTGGATCCACATCTTGTTTCAGGTAACGAGATGACAAGATAATTTAGCGGAACGCGCGACGCAGTCGAACAAGTTTCTACGTTCCAGAATCTCGAAATCGTGCGCCGCGTTATTAAACCATCGAGACGTTCTTCGGCCTGATCGAAGGTCGAGGTGCGAAATCACGAGAGATCTGAGCTTCGTAAAAAGATCCGCGGGTTGTTAGGGGTCAGAAGTCGCCGAGATGTTTGTACACAACCGCATTGAAATTCTTACTTGTGCCTAGTACAATAGCCGTGACGAATCTCAGACTGATCATTACAGCGATCGTTACAATTAAAAGTTCGCTCTTCGGGGAAGAGCTTCGCGTGCAAAAATTTGACGGGGTTGCCTGGCAGCGGCTGAAGACAACTCGTCGATGTTGCAAGTCGAAAGTGCGTGCACACGTACAACTGAAGACGCGAAAGTGCGAGCAAGAGTTCTGAACAGCTAGGCAACGTGTTAGGAGACCCGCCGGCGATCTCAGAGTGACCGATTAATTCGCTAACGGACGCGAGCAAGAGTTTCTGCGGAGGAATAGCAAGAGTCACATCGGCTTGGATTAATCTCAGCACGACGACCAGTCAACTCGCCGGCAATTTAAGTGCGACCCATCGGCCCGATAACGATACAAGGGCGAACCGCAGGCACCGTTGCGCGAGAAGCGCGACACGACAGTGCATCATCGGCATGCGATCTGCGACGAGACGGCTCGAGTTGACTTCGTAGGATGATCCCCTCCGCCGCAGAGACGACAGTGTAGCGATCGTCTTTTCGTCCATACGTCCCCACGTGACTTCCAGAGCGCGAGCAAAGTTTGAACGCACGGTTTAAGGTGCTCCGCATTGTTGCGCGTTCGTTTTCAAGGGTAGTGAGTTTGCCGAGATCTCGAACGATCGGGTCGGGAACGCCGTCAAAATAGAGTATCTCGGCAACAGCAACATGTACGGCGGCGGTGGCCCGGGTAGCGCGGGATACGGGCCCGATCCGGGCCCGGAACCGGGCCCTTCGCACTACGCGTCTCCCTCCGCCACGGTGGGCTACCAGTTGGCCCTACCGCCGCCACCACCCCCGCCGGTCTGCCCCGCCACCGGAAGTCAACTTCTGTCTTACGGGTCCGACTTATCGCCCCATCACATCCAGCAGACCCACACGGAGGCCCAACAGCCAAAGAGGCGAAGGTAGAGAGAGAAAATTAATAAAACTGCATTATGTTGTTCTTCTTTCTTCACGCGCTTGGTTGTCGCGCATTTTTATGTTTCGCTGTTATTTATTTATAATTCTCTCACTCGACGCTTATGTGTGTGGTTGATTTGCCCTTTGGGCCGTTTATCGCGAGTAGATTCTGCAAATAAATACGCGGGACATAAATGTTTCTTTTACGCGCGCGCGATTATCGACCGACCAGAGTTCGTGACGTCGATTTCTGCCGCGCTTATAATACAAGTCTCGATTGTGCGCGAAACTTTTCGTCTAATCGCGGCTACAGATTCTAAAGTGTACGAACTCCGCATCGCCTTAATCACGCGTCTTCAATTAGCGCTCGCCACATCGCAATTCATCAGCCAAAGCACGGTCACTCTGACGTGGCGCCAACAGTTCGCGGAATGCGCTTGTTTCGCGATCGCGACGGAAAGGGAAGAAAAGAAGGAGGAGGAGAAACACTTTGAATCGAGATAGTCCGATTATCGACGAGCTATGGTGTAAAAATGCGACGTACTCTCATAAAAGCGATCTAGTACCGGCACGGGGAAATATCGACCGCAGACAGTTGTTTCAAAAGTTCAGTTTTTCTGGAACAAGACGCGCTCGATACATCAAGGAATTTATTCACTTAAATGCTTAAAATTCTACCAAAAATTTAACGCAACATTTGTTCACAGTAAAACGCATTCATAGTTCGAGTCTCATACGATTTGTCTGCATCATGAAAATTTTAATACTGAATATTGTTTTAGTCATTTAAAAATCGGCTTTATCAGGGAAATATTGATTGAGACTAAAGAGCAACGCTAAAAACTTATTAAGTCTGACCATTCTTGCATCTCTGAAATGTCCTTATAAAAACAACAAAATATGTGATCAATTTGAATATTACTGAAATTTTTGTTTTTTTTTATTTTTCTAACATTATTCTTAATGTAAAATATAAACAGACTGTAAGCAGGTTTATAAATCCGGTAATTTGCAACTAGATGAGGAAACCACGATCTACCAAAAGCAAGTCGTTCCGCGCTAACAAGAGAAACGTTACAAAACATAGGTATAGTCTTACGTCGGGTAATTTCCATCCGCGCTCTGCGACCGTCGCGTATTATTGTTGGTCTTTATATACGAGTGTTATTGCAGAATCAGCAAGTTTTTGTCCACATCAGAGCATGTCGACAGCTCGTATAACGATTGATGTAGCGTTTTCCGCTATATTAAGTGACCGAGTCTTATAACGTAGACCAGATATATACAATTTAACGTATAATCAGTTTTCTTTTTAAGCAATTTTACATTTATATCAATTCTAATTTTATATTATTTATATCTTTTTATTTTCTTGATAAAAATTTACTTATAGCGTTCTTCAAGTTTTCTCAATATCTAATATATTCATGTATCTCTCTATTAATTTCAACCACTATTAATTCACTGAATATATTTGTTTAATTCGACCGACAAATTTTGGTAACTTTACGACTTTGAAATATTTTAACTGAACATCCGGTACTTCCATGGTCGGGCAAAAAGTCTATTCATCGAAAATAGCTCCGCTATTTTCCGGCGAGGGTGCGAGTTTTTCCCTTTTCTTTCATTCGGCCATTATATCCTCCGGTCTTCTCAGCGTGACCTTACCTTTGTCGAACCCGACGTAGTCACGCGCCATTGACTCCCGGCTTCGTCTTTTAGAGGTCAGTCGTACGCGTGTCACGACATTCCTGCTATTCCGCAGCTTTGGGGCGCGTTGCTGCCCGATTAGTTCGATCGTAACGGCGATTCGCGCGGACTGAAAGATCCGTTGCGTGGATGTTTGCTCACTTGTTGCTCTTCCTCTGGAGACATGCGGCCGGACGAGAATTTTCAATGGCTTACCCTCCTGGACGGAAGCATCCTCTCTTTTTTAACGAAATTTAAATTATTTCATAAAATGTCGCGTTGAGAATGGACATTTTTGTCATTGAAGATCAGGCAGCACCAAAATACGTTGTGCCTCGAAAGTAAACAAAGTGCTCAAGTTTTATCTTGAATGTTAGGGAAAATGGGTCTAATCGATCCAAGGGGCACGTCGTCGCTTTGTTTATGTATTTATCGTGAAGGAAACAATAGAAACAAAATCGCAAAATGTACCTTTTACAACATAGGCTCTTTTCCCTGCACTGAGATAAGTGTTTGATAAGTATAATCACAGAGAAGTAATTACTATAAATTATGGCTCAGAAAACTATTTTTATTAAATCCCATTATAGTGTTAGTGATAACGACCATAAAGTTATGATAATATATTAATTTAATAAATTATAATTAATACATATTACTGCTATTATTTTTATATTAGAACAATAAAAAATATGATTGAAGCCAAAAATAACTACAATTTTAATTGAATAATTTTTCTCTCAATATAAATAATTAAAATCGGAATAATAATAACGCTGAGAAAAAATACTTGATAAATATTACAGTTATTTTTGGCGGCAACTATATCTTCTTGTTTTAACAAAAAATTTAGTAACAATATATACGTAAGGTTATTATTAACTATATTTTATATAGTAACACTTGATACAAGAATAATTCTGTTAATTATATCTCTTTCACTATGTGATTATAGTCACAGATATTAAACACTTTTTTTCAGTGTACAGTTATAAAATAGAAAAAACTAATTTAAGAATATCCAAATACATTTTTAAGCATCTTGAAATTTCATATTAATGTTCTCTATTATGAGTAAATAAACTAAATTGACGTATCATAGAATAAAGTTGCTGATACAGTATGATACACTGTTTCGAATAATAAAAGCAATTTTCATTCATAAAATGTTTGAAATCTAATACATGGAAAATCTAATATACGGAAAAGGTAAAGTTGGTCACTATTTAAGAGCCAGCAGGACTATGAGGATCTCTCACTGAGACTCCAAACTTATTAATCAGAATACAAATGTTATATCTTCTTACCTTGTTGACCAATTTGATCCGTTATCAAGGCAAGATGATCACATTATAGCACGTTTCGATTATCACAGAAAAAAATATACAGTTTACAAAATCATTGCAGGCATAAAAACAAAGGGGTTATCTTTCTCATATTTGTATAATCAGTCACTATACAAACAATTAGTTGTCTGAGCGGTTGCAACTTCGAAATTCTTTTGTAATATTATCAAAAGAGAATAGTGCACAGCTGTTGCTTGTAAAATTGGTTGTTATTTATGCGAGGGAAACCGTTCTCTTTTTCGTCATAATCGTTCTTAATCGTGGTGAGTTTCCGATGTCGGAGACTGTTTGGCAATCAAACAACACGGATACGACTGAGCGCATCCTTGCTCCCCAATATCGTTTTTTTTTCCCACTATATTTTTAAACGATTTCGCATTGTTCGTTTCCTGCATTGTACCTCGCACATAAAGATTGACTGACACGCATATCTTGTATAAAAAAAACTTTTCGCGCGGCCTTGGACGAGGCGATACTTGGGTACAGTCATCGAAACAACGATAACGATAATCTCGCGGAACCATAACGAAACTCGTGCAAGACGACATATTATAAGAAGGATACACATAATTATAGTCTTAGGCACGTGCGAGACGATAAGCCGCTATATCTAAAAATATATATTAACAAAAATGCAGTCGAGCGATAGGTGCAAAAAAAAGCGCGACGAGTCTTTTGCGCGTCGTAATTGCCGATAAATTATATCGAGATCAAAACGCGGGAGAAAATTTCAGCTATCTTGTTACGTGCCGAGAAGTCGTTGCAGAAATCTCGATTTTTTTATTGATCATCGTGCTACTTTATGTGCTCGTATTTCACGTGAAGAACTGATTAACATCAAGAGAGAGAGAGAGATATATATATATATATATATAGAGGGAAGGGGAAGGAGATGGAAGGAGGAGTCCCGGGTGTTGAATAAGTCGTCAGAAAGACAGTTCTCGCCGAGAATTTTTACGGTGCAAATGCAATCCAAATAGCATCCATCTAATTGGAATGTATGTTAAAATGATTACTGCGCGCAATTAATATTGAGCAACGGAGAGGGCGTGCATTGGATATGTGCATCCTTGCACGCACGACATGCAAAGCAAACTACGCTGGTCGCACACGGACAACTTCGAATCTCAAAGCGTGAAGGATAAAATCACGTGGTCAGTTTTCCATTAAAAAGAAAGCATATATTAAAAGGCGAGTTGTGAAAACCGGAAAATAAACAAAAGCAACACGCACTCGCGCCACCATTGCTCGAGCAATTTTTTCCTCTCGTTATCGTCGTTAGTTATCATTTGTATCGAGAGAGAAAAAATATCCAAAAAATAAAAAGATACTTATTTGGTGAGTCCTAATAACATATTTATTTAAATCCTTTTATTTTAATAGAATAAATAATTTCTTCCATGAGAAAAGTTACACATTACCAAGAAAATGTATATTTTTGTATTAAAAATGTTTTTTCTCAATGTAAAAAAAAATTATATATATATATATTATATATTTATTAATATCTAAGTAAATATATTATTAGTATTCACCAAATAAATGTTTTATTTCTTTTTTAGATATTTTTTACTCAAAATGCACTTGTTTAATTCCAAATCCAGATTAATTAAAATTAAATATGATTAATCAATAAATGATAAAAAAAGCTTTTTAGTAATTCTAATAATTATTTTTAACACTTAAAATAACAAAACACAAAAAAGTTCTAATGCGTTTTCACATAATCGATCTGAAAGTTTCAAAGCCGCGTAGAATAAATTGTTTGTTTTACCGGAATTCAGTTTTATTGAAGTTTTTTTAGAGTCTCACATGGAAAAGAGATTTCACTGCCGAAACTAATTATAGTTTGCTGAAATTGTATTTATCGCTATAACTAAAAATTTGTTGCTATAAAAAACTTTTACCACCATTGCCACTACATCGGTTTTATAGCTGAATATATACCTATACTTTTAGATATCCATATG